TGACAAGTCCGCCCCGGAGAAGGAAGGAGCAGCAGAGACAACGTGTGATGAACTGACTGCAATCCCTGTTCCCCCTACCCCTGTGCTGCTTGCGGGGAGGAGGTAGAGAAAATCAGGAGTGAAGTTGAGCCAGGAAGAAGGGAGAGGTGGGGGGAAGTTGTTTTAAGATTTGGTTTTATTTCTCATTACCCTATGCATGTTTCTCACTCCTCTCTCCTACTCAGTTTTGATTGGTAATAAATTAAACTGATTTTCCCCAAGTCGAGTCTGTTTTGCCCATGACGGTAATTGCTGAGTGATTTCCCTGTCCTTACCTCGACCCACAAGCTTTTTCATTATATTTTCTCTCCTCTGTCCAGTTGAGAAAGGGAGTGATAGAGACGCTTTGGTGGGCTTTTGGCATCCAGCCAGGGTCAAACCACCACACTGATATATATTTGTTTTCTCTGCATAAAACTCATCCCGCTGATGTAAATATACATTTTCCATTGATCTGAATGGGCCTAAGATCCCAAACTAAGTCGTTGTAATATATGATGTAGCATTTGCTTCTCTAATAACTCATAGAAAGGAATAAAATACTTTAAGGGACTGTCTGATCTGCTAAGATGAAGCTCTGGGTCTTGAAATCATTTTTTCATTCATACAGTTTCCTTCCCCAGAAATTTCAATTCCCTTGGTCAGTTGCCTAAATGAAAGTTTCAGAACTGCTCAGAACCTTCAAAAACCACTATAAAATGTCATAAATATGATGGACTGTTTCAGGCCATATCATGGACGTAGAAGTTTTTTCTGTTGAAGGTGCATAGACCCGCTGGTTTTTGTAAATAATTTTCAGTATGACAAAAGTAATAGCTTCCAATAGTTATGTTTCAAGCTTTTCATTGCATTTAAAGTGTAATATGTCATAAATATCCAGATATGAACCTGTCATTCTCAGTTATTCCGCATTTGTTTGCATATATGTTTTACTCTTCATAGATAGATGATAAATAGCAGAAAAGTTATTTTTGAAGTATAAAAAAAGATAAGGTTGAGAAAGAGATGTTTTCAAATGTGATGCTAGAGAAAGAAGCAAATATCTTCAAGCTCATGTGAGCAGAAATTTTTTTAATATATATATTTTAGGCAATATAGAAAATTAACTCAGAAAACATGAGATAATGGCTCAAATTTTGAAGATATTTTATAATGGCTAGATTAAGTTTTGCTACTGACATATTGAAATTAGTCAAGTTTTGTTTTAATCATAAAATCAAACCATTTACATTTAATACTTCCTGACTTTCTTACCTATAAAGAGTTTTGGGAGTTTTCAAACAGCCAGAGAATTTCAATCCAATGAGCTGCTTAGAAATCTCAAGCATAATCAGAACTCTTTCCAAGTTTCAGACAAACTCTTTACAGGTTTTGATTTTCCTCATGAGTAGTGAGTATGAGATAAATGGAACTAGGGGGAAATGACTGGACATTTTGAACAGAGATGTCATCTACATATACAGTAAAACTGTTTCGGACTATTTCCATCTAAGGCAACCTTCATTTGATGAGCGTAGTGCGGTGATCACACAATCAGTTAAATTCAAAGGCTTTTAAAAAAAATACTCCTCTTCAACAAGATTATCCTCTTGAGAAACCTAGTTATTAGATAGGTGTATAAAGGTGAACTTGTGAAATGAGACCACTGAGAACAAAAATCTGATGTAAAATATTACATATCCTATTTTACAGGCAGAAACTCAATACAATTTACATCTTCCATAAACATAAAGACACTGATATAATCTCTCAGACAGGTTACTATAGCAGAATCTCCAACAAACAGATGGAGTAAAAATTCCAAGTGTGGCATCAGTAGTGGAGATGCTCCAAATGCTGTAGAACAAAGTGGCTATTTTATGGTCAGATCATTAGAGAGCTCTTGAGCTCACTTAACTGGATGTTTTTGTTATTGTTGAGCAGCGCTTACAGAGATTCAAGGCCTTTTCTGCTTCTCACCCCACCCCACCAGCGAGTAGGCTGGGGGTGCACAAGACATTGGGAGAGGACACAGCTGGGACAGCTGACCCCAGCTGACCAAGGGGATATCCCACACCATATGATGTCATGCTCAGCGTATGAAGCTGGGGGAAGAAGAAGGAAGGGGGGACGTTTGGAGTGATGGTGTTTGTCTTCCCAAGTAACTGTTACACATGATGGAACCCTGCTTTCCTGGAGATAGCTGAACACCTGCCTGCTGATGGGAAGTAGTAAATGAATTTAATGCTTTGCTTTGCTTGCGTGTGCAGCTTTTGCTTTACATATTAAACTGTCATTATCTCAACCCATGAGTTTTCTCCCTTTTTGATTCTCTTCCCCATCCCATTGTGGGGGGAGTGAGCGAGCAGCTGTGTGGTGCTTAGTTGCCGGCTGAGGTTAAACCACAACACTTCATCTCAAATCAAATGTTGAAATAACCTTATATACTTATTCTCCTTCTCTATTCTCTTCACTAGGTCTTTTTTTTTTTTTTTTTTTTTTCCCCCCCCAGGTTAATTCTTCAATTCTGGAAATCCATTCCCAAATTTGCCCTAAAATATTAAGCCATTCCTGCCTTGCTAATTTTCTAAGTCTTTATAAATTTTCTTTTGCTAATTTTCCAAAGGCTAAAAGTACTACTTTCCCTCCCAGAGCAGCTCCAATTTATACACAGTATTCCTCTGCATGTAAATAATATACATAGATATTTTGTTAGCTCTATTTCTAACTACTATTTTAAAATGATTACTAACTTTATTACTAATTAGAAATAATGGCAACTATTAATGTTTAAACAGCCATTTTTTGTTTGACACAGGTGTTAGAAACTGAGAGATATGACTCATTTTTGCCTTGACACTTAAAGATTATGAAAACTGGAAAAACACCATTTCAAATTAATGCATAGTTCAACTTTCTGGAAAATTAACTTTTTCAGCATTTTGTTCCTGTAGTAGATTCCAATTGATGTGTTCTGAAAGATGTCTTATGAAACTACAAGTTACCATTTTAGCAGAGACTATAAAAGATGTATCAAAACTAGAAAACTTTTTAACCCGGGTTTGGAGAGAAATGGTCAAGCTCAAATCACTACAATGTGCTCTAGTGTTTTGGAAAATAAAGTCTTACTTTTCTCCATTCTCTAGAGGAGAGTCAGTAACAAAGCCTTCTGTCACGCATCCTTCCATTTGCAGTTGTACTCTTTGAAAGCCAATTGTTACTCTATTTATACACATCTTCTCCATAAAATCACAAGCCGTTACATAGTTGTATGCTACTTAGAGTGTCGCATAAGACATATTCTAAATCAGACACTGCATTCACTGTCAACTTCAGCTGAATCTCCCAGAGTACTTATTTACTTACAGAAATCATTCTTCTCCCGTAACAAGATACATGTTTTCTTATGATTTCAAGGAAATAAGATTAGGCCCTGACTCTTCTATAACATGCTTGTTTTTCTCAAGAAATATTTCTGTGATCCTCTTTATTCATTTTAGGAGTATTATCTTTGTGTAATCTAGAAATAAAATTCTGCCTTCCTGCTAGTAGCCCACCCACACATACCTTGCAGTTTTTATTCCTTCTGCTTAGGACAGGACTAGAAATTCTAGCTTTCTGTCCTGGCAGCTGAAGAAATGAACTCTTTATAAAAATATAATGACCAGATGGCTCTTGCAATGTATGATCAATAGCTGGTCCAGTGCCCATTTTTGTAGTACTGCTAGTTCTGAGGTTCCAGTCAAAATCATCATTTTCATCTTGCTTCCATCCACAAAGATCAAATTCAAAATTGCAATGCCCAATAGATGTACCTGAAAGACATTTGCACACACATGACGAGTTTTTTTTCAATAAGTTAATTAGGTACATATACTACAACCTAGTACTCAAATCCATTAAAACAATGCTTCAATATAAAAAAAAAATCCATGTAACTTATTAAACAGAGCATTTTCAATGTTCTAGGATATAATAATAGGATAGGATAAAACTGCATGAGGTAGGTCTCTGTACTCTCATTATTATAGTCACAGAGTCCTTGGTATAAAAGTAACCAAATATAGCAATCTATTTTATGTCAAGCTGAATAGCTTTTTAGGGTCTTACAGGCAGATGTCAATTGGTGCCCCCCATAGGACATCCAAAACATCTGCAGAAAACTAGCCTCTTTTTGGAGAAACATGTTAAGGTCAGGTGAAAATGGTAACAAATGCCTATATTTAGGGAACAGAAACCCATCCAAATGAATGCACTGACCACCATAAAGACACAGCCTCCATACAGACACATTTTGGTAAAACATAAATGTAAGTATGCTAACTTTGAGCTGAATCGCACCCATAGTTAGTTTACTTTTGCATGTTTGCAGAAGAGTTCACACATGTATTTTCTTAACTAATATGCAAACATAGATTATTATTGACATTTCTCCTGAAATTGTATTTAATGCCTAGAAAAAGAGAAAGCTGTCATAATTTTGGTTGATTTTTATATGAAATAACATGCACGCTCTTTACCGATTTTCCAATCTTGAATGTCAAGACAGCGAGCATGGTGAGTCAACTGTCCACATAAATTAAGTGCACCACTCCAGAAGTTTAAGCTGTGTATATTTTTTCCTCTATGCAGCTATAACTCCATTATAATGATTACCAAGTAAGACTAAACTTGCTGAAATAAGCTGGAATTTCAGCAGGGCCTTCAAAAGACTTTAGACTATGCCCTGAATATTCTTACTATTATTGCTGGAAAGGAAAGTGCTTTGAAGATAAATTTAGAAACCATATGGATCATTTGCCCTGACAACATAAGAAATGATAAAAGCTCTCTCATAAAATGTAAACAGAACCTGAGCCTCTTCAGGGGTCTGATAAAGTTCAGCCAGTTAAAAGTAGCTTTATTTAATTGGCAGCTAGTCAGAAGCCTCACTAATGAGGCCAAGGAGCTAAAATCCATGGAGTCTACACATAGACCAAAACAGTACAGACAGCTACCTCTAAAATTTCATGCTGAAATCAGATGAAAGATTTCTTCCTCGTATGTTTCTTTGTGGAGGTCATAAGGGTGAAAAAGAAGCTAGAAACTTTTTCTTAAAAATATGGGATATTTAGCAAAAAGCGCTTCACTGTCTTTTACCTTTGTCTACAAGTATGATGCCATTTGAAATAACAATTAACACCCCCCCAAACCTGATGTCCTAAATTATATGATTATCATTTATGCAAACTATAGATTGTCGTTTACCTCAACTGGGTGTAACTGCACATAAAATTTGTCACTCCTCATCTTTTGCCATATGATCTCTAAATTACTTAATATTTTGGGATCCTAGTTAAAGAAATTCCTTCGATTACTTACAAATTCCATCTCTAGTCAATAAAATTCATGCATGAAATTGACCATTTTATTTTAAAAGCATGTTTTCAAGAATCAAGACCTTAAGGCATGAGCACTGAGCATCCCTGCTAAAGCTCTATATACTGTGTGTTAGCTAATCTAAATTTAGAAGTCCTTGTGGGATCTCTATAGTCTAATCTAAATTTAGAAGTCCTTGTGGGATCTCTATAGTCAAAAAAGAAAAATACTCATATCTATAGGACAATTTATCTAATCTAACTCAAACAACCGATTTTAAATTACATGATCTTCAACCTGGAAGTGAGTGACTCCACTGATGAAAAAGAGAACTTAGGCAGCCTGCTTAGAAGCTTAAGTTACAGCAGATGACTGTGCACTTGCATATTAAACCTTTGGTAGTAGACACTTCTATAAAGAACTGTGAACTCTTAGTAATGAAGTACAAAAGCAAAGTTAATCCTTTTGTCTGTGGAGCAGTGATGCAGGGCTGCTGAATTAGTCTACTGGATGAGAGCTTAATAATTTAAGGAAAACACTTAACAGTAGGTATATGAATCATATTATATTGATCACCAAAGATCTAATGAATCTTTGTAATAAACTAAGTAATTAAATGGAGCAAAATTTAAACTATTTTAAGTCATATTATTCTCAACAGCTATGCCTAGATGAACGGGAAGTACAGAGCGATAGGAGCAGATCTGTAAGGCAGAACACCTGATGCTAAGGACCTGATGACTTTTAGGGGGGTGGCAGAGGAAAGAGGACTGAGGTGGTATAGACTGATCCTGAGGGTTGAATGACCACTAGTGGCTAGAATACATTTGAGGCCCTCCTGGATCTCATCTTTCAATTTATTTTCTAATGAAAGGAGCCTAGTACATATGCTTGAGCACACTCTACAATACAAACCAAATTGCAATAAACAGGAATAACCGAGAGATTTACTTCAGAAACATGCTGATGAGCTGAACCAAACATTACCTAAGCTCAGACAAGACCAAACATCTACCAAGTACAGTCACCTGCACTGGCACTAATCCATATTTCAGACTGGAAAAACATTACTACCCCACAGCCTTTTTCACAAAATTTAATTTACTAGATCTCATAAACCACCATTTCTACCTCAAGGAGGCATGCCCAACTCAATCAAACTAGAGCTGCCTCAGAGACCTTCCTCTGATACACTGATAACCTCAAGCAGCATAAGGCAAACCCCAGCAGTTTCTAAACAAGGTTGAAGAAGTGCTACCACCCTTCACCTCTCCAGCACTGTTGTGGTCTATTTTGTTCTCATATACTGGTAGTAAGAAAATAGTACTAGTGACATTATACTTAAAGAAAACTCTGAGCATGGATCACTCATTCAGTATCTAACAGAATAATTTCTAAACATTTGACGAATCAGTTTACCTGTTAAAATGTGTACTTGACTTATTTTATGGCACTGACATCATGCAGCTAGCTAAAAAGAGCCCTTTACGAAGCAAACACAACCAAGACACAGATCTCTCAGTAGTAATTTAACAGCTTTATGAGGCATAGTTTATATCTCAGCAGCACTGGCTTTGTCTAGACATTGCTAATTAGACTTGGTGAGTATCGTCATGTGATATAGTCCTATTAACATTCTGGAGTTTCAGGAATATAACAGAGATTGGGGACTAGTTTCTTTCAATGTGCTGCAGAAAGATTTCATTAACTAAGACACTATGACTCTTTGTGCACGTAGCAAACCACATCTACAGTTAGAGCTAGCGATCCAGAAAGGCCTACTGCTAAAAGGTACTTTGGAGATGTCTGGAAGCTGCGCGGTTTTTGTATCTTTTAAACACAATTGCCATGCCTGGGCAAGACTCCCCATTTCTTGTTTCCTGTGCTTTGATCTATCATGCTTTGCCCTACTAAAGCCTTCTCCAGGCTTCTGAGTTTGAGGTTTTAAAACTACCATTCTATGGTTCAGCA